AGGAGGTGGAGAGGAGGAGGAGAGGAGGAGAGAGGGAAGGGGAGGGGAGGGGAGGGGCGAAGGAAGAAGAGAAGAGGGGAGGAGGAGAAGTGAGCAGAGGTTCTGAACCAGTAGCAGGTGGAACCAGGAGCGCTGTACGGAGGAAGGAGGATACAGGAGCTTGCCTTCTACATGGGCCTGCCCTTCCCGAAGCCTTACGACGCCTCGAGGATCGGGAGGGTGAGGGAGCGAGAGGAGGAGTCAGAGCGGAAAGACGGAGATCGAAGCTGAGTGGGAGGAGGAGGAGGAGGAGGAGGAGGAGGAGGAGGAGCAACAGCATCGGCAGTTAACATCATACCACATGATGAAATTTTTGTGTTGGATGAAACAGTTTCTTTCACTTTCTCTCTCCTCCTCTTTTCCTCCCACTGCAACCTCCTCCACACCCTTGTCCTCTCCTGTCCTCCTTGAAAGAAGGTGAGAAAGGAACGAGGAGGAGAGGAGGAGGAGCGAAAGAAGTAGGAGGAGGAACGTGTCCATTCAGAGTCACTTTCAGAGAAGTTTTACAAAGAGATCGTTTTGTACACAAAATATTTCACCACTAGAAGGAGGATGAAGGAGAGGGAGCAAGACGTGAATGAAGGAGCAGCACAAGGAGAATAAACCTCCTCTGCCTGCTCCTCCTCCTCTCCTCTCCGCGGGTTCAGCCTCCCTCCCTGCCACTCCCTCCTCTGTCTCTCTATCTCTCTCCTCCTCTCCCTCATGCTATACAACAACAACAAACTCACAACACTCTCCTCCTCGCATTCCTAGTCACTAGATCCCTCCTGGGCACGTGCCGCCGCATCTGCGGTATCGCTCCTCCTCCTCCTCCTCCAACGACCTTCCTCCTCGGGGCCCTGGGAGCAGCTGTGTTCTTGGGCGCCTCAGCGTACGCGTTCAGGAAGGAGAGGTAGTCCTCGGAGGAGAACGAAGGAGCAGGAGCAGCCTCCTGCACTCTCCTCTCCATCGCCTTCTCCCGCAGAGTCTTGTAGCCTGCCATCCTCCTCCCTCCCGCTGTCCCCGTCCCTCGCTGCCCCACCAGGTCCCTCTGCCTCCTCATCCTCCTCTGCTCGCCGTCGCTGCCGCTGAGGGGAGGAGGGAAGGAGGGGACGGTGCTGGTGAAGATCGGCGCGATCGCTTCCTCCTGTGCTGCACTCGTCTCCATGCCAGACCCTCTCCTCATCCTCGCCTTCATCGCCATCTTCATGGTCGTCGACGCGGCGCTTGCCGTCCCCTCCATCTTCACGATGTCCCTGTACCGCCTCTGCGTGCTCCTGCGCCTGCCGAGGGAGGGGGTAGTGCCCGCTCTGTCTTCCTCCCGCGCCATCCCCGTCTCCCTCCTCCTGCTCGCCTTCATCGCCATCCTCGCAGTCAGCGACCTGCCCAGCAGAGCAGGTGCCATCGTGTCACGGTACCTCCTCGTTCTCCTCACCGGAACCTCGAGGGTCTCGGGAGCAGCAGCAGGGGAGGACCTGGGGGCCGAGCGGGACAGCAGCTGCTTGATGCGCATTATGGAGGGACGGAGAGACCTGCTCCTGCTGAGCATTCGGCAGAGAGAGCGGGAGGAGCGAGCTGAACGGGGGAGGGAGGAGTGTGAGAGAGCAGCTGCCTCCGGCTTCGCCTCCTTGTCACTGTCTGCTCTGACCAATTTGCTGGCCAAGTCTCTGAACCTCCTGCCCTTGTACGTGCTCTGCTCGCTCCTCCTCTCCCTGTATGCGTGCGGCAGGCGCCACATGCTCGAAGTCGAGGACAGCAGCTCCATAAACCTCTTCCTCTTGGAGCCGCTCCCCTCCTTCTTGCCTCCCAGCCGCAGCAGACTCTTGGACGCCCTCCACACGGCGAGCAGCATGATGCTCGGATCCCTCCTGTTAGTCTCCTGAGTCCTCCTCCTCCTTTGCTCGTGGTACCGTCGGAACGCCTCGAGCCCCTTCCTCTTCTCCTCTCTCCCCGTCGCTCTCCCCTTCCTCTCCGACCGGTCAACGACGACGAGACGCAGGTAGTCGTGCTCGGGCCCGAACGGCTTCAGAGGCTTCACCTGCCCCTCCTTCTCTGCGTCGCTTTTTGGGGCGACAGCACCTTCAGCTCGGACAGGAGCTGCTCCCTTCACCTCCTCTCCTCCTCCTGCCTTGGGGAACCTGAGCATGCTGAGGGGACGGTTCCACGAGCGAACAACTCTGACGGAGGAGGAGCGAGGGGAGCGCTGCTGGGCCTTGGACGAGCGGCGGAAGTGGAAGAGAGCAGAGAGACCTGAACGTATCCTGCTCTCCTTCTTGTCCTTCCTCCACTCCTTCAGCTCCTCCTCCCTGTCTGGCCCTGGAGGAAAGAGAGTATCCATGAGAGAGTAGAGGAAGACTCCTCCGAGGCCGACTGCGTACGTCACCAGCTGCGCTGGGCCGATGGACTCGGCGAGCGCCAGGGCCCCTCCGACCATGACGAAGGCGTACCGGCCGGCATGGAGGAGCGAGTTGACAACAGGCGGCGGGTCCTTGATGTAGCGGTTGGCGACCAGGTTGGAGCCATAGAGCCAGAGACCAGAGGCGATGATGTTGAGCAGGATGATAGGATCGCTGTTGAGCAGGACGCCGAACGCGTCCCAGTAGACGCCCTCCGCTGATATCATCATCGGGATAGAGAGGAAGAACGAGAGGAGCATGGTGAGCTCGAACTGGTTGCCGACAGACTTGCGGTGCTCCGTAGTGTCTGCCTCGGCCACAAGCTTGTTCTGGTTGTAGTCCTGATGGAGGGTGAGAGGTCAACAGGGGAACGAGGGAGAGGACAAGGACAACGAGCATAAGGTGCCCAAAGAGGAGAAAGAGCGCAACCGGTGAGAGGAGCAAGAGCAGGAGCAAGAGCAAGAGCAAGAGCAAGAGCAGGAGCAACGGGAGCAGGAGGAGGAGGAGTCACCTTGTACACGGAGAAGAAGTTGGACATGCATGCAGCTATGACAGCCGTCCAGGCGAAGTCAGACTGCTGGTTGCAGGCAAAGTAGATCCCTCCGATGATTGGGAGGAGGCTCAAAATCTTAGCATTGGACATCTGGTGCACAATCAGAACCCCCCTCTCCCACATTTCTCTCCTCTCCCTCCTCCCCTTCATTCTCCTCCTCTCTTTCCTGCCCTTCATTCTCCTCCCCTCCCTCCTCACTCGGTTGTCCATCTCCCTCCTCTCCCTCCTTTGTTGCTTTCATCTCTACCCTTCCTCCTCCCTGTCCCCTTCCTTCGTCTTCTGCTTGCTGCTGCTTCTCCCTCTTCTCTCCTCTTCTCACCTTCTTCTTGTCCGTCGCTGCTGCCAGAAAGTCCGCAAACACAGGCTCTGCGGCCCGGACAAGCAAGCTGAGGGAAACGGCTCCTGCTCCGATGGAGTACACGAAGAGCGAGTGGGCAAGAGCTGCGTAGAAAGCAACCTGAAAGTTCAACGTCAGGACCAGCGGCATCAGACTTCCTCGATCCTCTCCACATCCTCCCCGCCCCGCCCCTTCCTCGTTCCTCTCCGATGCCCTATCCTTGTCCATCACAACCTCTGCCTCCTTCACTACCTCAACCCTGACCTTCTCCTCCCTTCCTCCTCCTCCCTTCCTCTTGCTCCTTCTCCTCCTCCTCCTCCCTTCGTCTTGCTCCTCCTCCTCCTCCTCCTCCTCCTCCTCTTGCTCCTCCTCCTCTTGCTCCTCCTCCTCTTGCTCCTCCCCCTCCCCCTCCCCCTCCTCCTCCCCCTCCCCCCCTCCTCCTCCTCCTCCTCCTCCTCCTCCTCCCTCCCTCCCCCCCTCCCCTCTGACCACTCCTCCTCACTCACAGGGAGCATCTTGAACACGTCCTCTCCTGTGATGTTGGGCACTGTCTTGCTCCCCGACGTGGCCCAGAGGAAAAAGGCGTACAAGCATCCGAACCCGAGCTGCAAGGTAGCGATCGCTACTGGGAAACCAGCCGCTCCGTAGGCCGCGTTGAGCGCGAGTTTGCTCGTGATGATGACTGAAGAAGCAGGCGGTGAGCAGATCGCAGGTAGAGAAAGAAAGGAAAGACGAGGAGAGACTGAGGAGATCTGGAGAGAGCAGAGAAGAGCGGGGGAGCGGAGAAGAGCGGAGAAGAGCGGAGAAGAGCGGGGGAGCGGAGAAGGAACGACAATAGGAGCAGGAGGGGAGGGTGGAAGCGTTCGAATGAAGGAGACATACTCACAGTAGCAGTTCCCGAAGTACCACAACCCGAAGTACGGGAACATCTTAGAATCGACTGTTGCGCTCTTGAGCGTCTCCTGCAGCGTCTGCGGCTTCGCTGGCTCCATGGCGTTCGGGGTGTTAGGGATCGGAGCTGGCGGCTCCTGTATGTTGCTTGGCTTATTCTCCATATGCAAATGCCGCACCCCCCGGAGATGGGCTGCTGGTCTTCCCAGCATGCTTCCATGGAAGTGATGGTTGACGAAGGCGTCAACGACAGAGAAGGAGGCGACCAACAGGGCAAGGCAGGATGTCTTCATGGTGAGTAGTCCTAATGTGGTGAGTCTAGTAAGGCTTAGCAGGGGAGGGGTTCTCGTAGCCTTGGGGGATGTGAGGAAAGCTGTTCTGTTCTATCAGAAACAACTTCTCATCGCTGGTCTGCACGAGGCGACGACCCAGAACTTCTCATTTTGCAAGATCCCGCAACACGTACTCCCTGGAAACCCAAGATCAGCGGACAAGCATTGGATGTGCAATGTAGCGAAAGCAAACAGTGATGCCGAGATACAACAAGAGATTGAGATCAATGAGAGACTTGAAAACAAGCATACGGGAGAATGGGGAACCATGACAAGGACCAAAATTGAAACAAGCATACGCGCTAAAAAATGCAGTGAACTTGATACTGCAGGAAGTGAACATCTACTTCTACAACACAGCTGAAGAACGTCTAGCATCTACAATGCTTCCTTTTCTTCTCGCTCTTCTCCATCTGCATCAGATCTTCTCCTGTCTGAGAGATTAGAGAGCGGCAGCATGTTGAATTCTAGTCTAGCGCCATGAATGATTCGGTGCTGTCAGAAAGGGGGCGACCGGGGGGAAAGACAAGGGGGGTGGGGGTACTTTTTCTTAGGGTGACATTCATTTGGGGCCTCAGAGGCTGGGTGGTGACAAGGTAAATACTGGGAGAAAGTAGGGGTACTTTGAGAAATTGAGGTTTTGAGGGAGGTGGGTCGTACCACCTGCACCCCTAGAACTTTATGTGTGGGGCAAAGGAAAGGTGAAATGTCATGAAGGCAAGGGGGTGGTGAGTGTGGGTGGGTAGGGGTAAAAACAGTGGGTGGGGTACTCATGTATCCCCTGAAATTTTACTAGCTAGCTAGGGTCCATGCCAATACACTCTTGTTTGATGTTGATGGTGGGTACTCATCTTATATGACTAGGGGTAGGGTACTTGAAAGGACGGGGTGGGCACGAGAGTGGGGTAGGATCCACCACCCCATTTCCTTTCTTTTTTGGGTTGAGTACCCCCACCTCAAATGGACCAGGTAATACCACCCGTGAAAACCGAGCAAGGGGTCCGAGCAGAATAGGGTCCTGATTTCTGTGTAGGGTGGGGTAGTGTGGGTCCACAGGGGTACTTGAGATAGAGAAGAATATGCTATATGGAGGGGTAGTGAGGTGAAAAGAGAATTCCACTCAGGAGAAAGAGGGGGTGGAGAAACATAAGTGGATGTGACAGGGTAGGGTAGGTATAAGGAGACTCCATAGCCAGGCCCAACGCTGTAAACTGAACTCACGGTTCAACGGTTGACGCCCGGGCCGGGGGCCCGGGGGCTCCGAGGCAGCCTGCGTCTCGGCTCCGCGTGACTCGTGACTCACTACTGACGGTTGGAAGACTGGACGGTGAAGGCTAGCGCCCGGCCGGGGTCACACGGTCACTGGGCCCGTCACGGGGGTGGCACAATGCCGTAGTGCCGTGACTCCGCGCACACAGTCCGATCGGCGCGGCCGGGCAGCGGCTCGGACTCTGGAGGAGTACGGCCTCGAGTCATCGGAGTCACGCGGGCGCCGGGCAGTGCCCCCGGAGAGTGCCCCTGGTCCTACAAGCGGCAGGCGGGGGTCACCCCGGCGGGTCCAATGAAGCGGCCTCAGCGTGGGCTGCCGCTGACTGGGCCCGATGGTCTGCCGAGCGTTTGCCCCTGAACTCCGATGTGCGGGGGTCACCCCGGATCACCGGGTGGTGCAGTAGTCAGGGGCAGGGGTGGGGTGGACTCTTGCAGTGCCCCCTCAGCTGGGGGGGTCGCGACTTGCGCCCTGTCCTGGAGTGTGCTGACCGGTGAAATCACTGGTGGGACTCCTTGGAAGCGAAAAGAAGTCTTTTCGCCGCAGGTTGCGACTGTGCCTATCTGGAACAGCAGGCAGTGGTATAAAGGTGCTCGCAGAACTAGCACGCTCATCACACCAGGCAACCCTGAGCCATCCTGTGGTGTCTTGAAGCATCTTCAAGTCTCTTCGAGCATCTTCAAGTCTCTTCGAGCATCTTCAAGTCTCTTCGAGCATCTTCAAGTCTCTTCGAGCATCTTCAAGTCTCTTCGAGCATCTTCAAAACTCCCCGAGCATTGCCTAGCAAGAGCAAAATCGAGTCTCTGCTCCTACTGAAAGCTATGGGGAGTTTTGGTTGCGAGACCACCTACTGCTTGAAACTGAACTGCTGCTCAACTTGTCGCGCATTGATGTTAGATCCGACTGTGTGCTCAGATGGGACATCCTCGAACACAGAAGCTCAAAGGCGTAGCAAGAAACAAATCAGTATGGACAGCAAAGATGTCTTGAGGACATGTGTTTTCACAACTTTTCAACTCGACAGTGAGATCTGTCAACCCTCAATCAACTCATTGGGTGCCTTGAAACCAAACAACACATTGCATCAGGACTATCTCTACAGAAAAGAAGTTTTCGAGAAGTCCATCAACAGCTATGGAAACTTTCAACCATCTGTCGATGAGCTGACTCTGTGGAGGGTTTGCATTTAACAACACCGCAGCTGAAACTTGAATCATTCATTCACTCATTTTGGGCTGTTTTTCAGTTTTTTGTTTGTTGCGAGACGATGTGGCGCAAGCATGTCACAGAGTCAAGCACGAGCAAGATCAAGACCGGCCGCTTCGTTGTTGGCTGAGATGCTGCTGCCGTTTGTGCTCATCATTGTAAGGCAATGTATGGCCTTGTGTAATTTTATCATCTGTCTGTTTTGTAAGTGTGTCAAAATTTGAAACAATAGAACTTTTGTGTATAATAAACCTGAAACTCGCTTGAACATCAACTAAGCACTGCCAGGTATGAATCCTCGAAAGAATTCAGCGATGCCACGGTATCACTGAATCCGTCGGACTCTGGCAGCTGCGGCAAGAGCCTCGGACGGTTTCACGAGTCAGACCAGGTTGTGGGCGGTCCTGTAAGTCCGGGCACTTGCTCTCCGAGCGGTTCCGGCCGCATCATTTCCGGACCGTCCCGATGAGCAGGGGTAGACGGTATCGACTCAAGTTTCATGACATCACTGCTGACGGCGACAGATGTCGGTATGGCTGCTTCTTGCTTGCTGCTCGGTAGCTGTACATGCCGTCAGGGCACTGCGGCCGCGGGCCGGTCAAAGAGCGAGGAATGATAGTGTAGATGAAGAGGCAGGCTTGAAGAATTCGAAGGAGGAGGAGGAGGAGGAGGAGGAGGAGGAGGAGGAGGAGGAGGAGGAGGAGAGGACAGGTTTACCAAGGCAGCCTCACAAGAGAAGTGTAGGGAGCCAACCGCAGCCGAGCGGCCCGTTGAGACCTGGCGCCTTCGACCGCAGACGACAGGACGGAGATCGAGTCCAACGCGGATGTTGTGGAGGACGTGGAGGGAACGAAAGTCGAAGTCGTCGAGCCGCGGGCAAGAGCCGAGACGAGCATTGGGAGGCCAGAAGTCCGATCACAAGGCACTTACTAGTCCGTGTCGGAGAGGATCCGGCTGACTCTGAAGTTGAGACTCCGGGCCGGCCGGCCCTGAGAGGTCCCGGTGATCCAGAGTGAATCGTCCGTTATCCTTTGTAACGATCACTGCGATTAGTTAGTTATGCAGCGATGCAGGTGAGCGGCGCAAAGAAGTTAGAGGAAG